TCTCGGCTAGATCTCACTTGCCGCGCGCAAACTCGAGGATCTCCGAGGCGGAGCCCGGCTCCTGGCCGCCGAACTGGTTGCAGGGGAAGGCGAGGACACAGAAGCCGCGGGACTCCAGGCGCGACTGCGGAGGGCCGAGGCGGCCACTTGGACGACGTGTGAGGCGGCAAGCGAGCTGTGAGGAGAGAGCACGCCGGAGCAGGAGGCGGCGGTGGGGAGTGAGGCTGAGGCTGCAGCAGCTGGAGTTGAAGCGAGGGGCAGTGACAGAGGGAGGAGGAGAGTGTCGCGCGCCTGCAGCTCCTGGAGTTCGCGGTAGTTCTGGTCCGTCAAGCCTCACTTTGAGGCGACCTGGAGCGCGGCGATGGCGGTGAGGACGATGGTGGTGAGGGCGGTGCGGAGTCGCGGCAGCGGTGCTCTGTCGCGTGCACGCCGCTGGCACGGCCCTACTAGTCGCGTGCGCGCCACTGGCAACTGCCGTGTGCACAGAGAAAATGCTGCCGGGGAACAGGTGTGCACGCATCTACAGGCAGCGGACGTTGACGAACAGAGACACCCTACCCCTGTACTGCTCGAGCTCCTGCACCGAGTTGTCGACGAGCGAGCGAGCCGCGTAGCTGTAGGCGCTACCCGACCGCTGCGTAGGAGCCACCTTGCCGCCGAAGAGCGCCGCAGCAGAGGTGAGCGTGACGAGCGACAGCGACATGGAGCGTTTCAGGCCGAATTTTCCGAATATGTTCTAGGGCTGCGAACCTTCCGCGAATTAACCGGCTTTTCTCTAGCTTCAACTACCAGACCGGCGAATGCAGGTGTGAGTGGGGCCGGCTGACCGCGGTCACAGGACGCGGGCCCGCAGGGTCTTGGGACAAGACCAAGCATACCGAGAATTCAGACACCACCTGTGTGATCTCGGATGGAACGATCGGGTGCCCAAGCCCAACGGACCCCACGAAGCGCTGCCAAGACACCCGATTCCCGCCGCACTTGGTTCACCGGTCAGGAAACCCCTCCTTGTGCGACAAACCACCTTTTTATGTGTCTCCGTCTCTTTGCGAGGCACCAATCCCCAGCGCATGGTTCGACTGATCCCTGTCCGAGTCCGTAGTTACAACTTCGTTCGCAGGTCGCCGCAGGCGTCGCGCCGTCCTCTGACTCATCACTTGGCTCGCCCACCTTCGGGCATGTTGTGCATGACATAACAACACACGGCAGAGAGAGGATTTCCGCATGGGAAGGGCAGGGGAGAGCAAGAAACGACGAGCGAGGCCGGCAGCACTGCGGCCACCCTGCCAACCAGCCCCCGAACCGTCCCGCAGCTCACAGACCAGCCAGCAGACCAGAAGCAGCACAACCGCCTCCCCGCGCCCCCCCTCCTCCTCCCTTCCCCTCTACCTAAGAGTACTCGCCGCCGGATGCCTCCTTCTTCTTTTCGGCGTGTCTATTCGGTGCTCTGCACGTTAGCTGTCCGGGAAAATGGGACATCTGACCACGCTTACCATCTTAGCGCTGCTCGCCACTCGTGGCCACGCCGCAAACCCGTGGGAGCAAGATGCTGAGGCAGACGCGATGGCGGAGCTCATGCGGGAACACAACACAGACAAGGGCACGTACGGCATTAACATGATGCCGCGCGCTGGCGCCCACTACCACAGTATGTACGCGTCCATCCTCGCACCCTACCGTCACCGAACCGGCCTCGTGATGGCTGAAGTGGGCGCGAACCAGGGCGACTCGCTGAACACGTGGGTCAAATACTTTGGCGATTCACTGAAGAAGATCTTCGGCCTGCGCTACGGCATCTCGGACTCGATGATGCACCCCTGCGAGGGCGCACATTGTAGCAAGATCAAGATCATCGACTCGGATCAGAGCAAGCTGAGCGAGCTACGCAAGTTCGTGCGCGAGTCCCTCGGCAGCGAGACGATCCCGAGGGCGGAGCACGCGCTGTCGCTGGCGAAGGGTCAGGCAAAGCCCGGGTCGGCTGAGCGCGAGGCAGCGCGTCTTGCGGACGAGGCCTTCCCGCTACGACATCATCATCGACGACGGCAGCCACGTGCCGAAGCACATGCTGCTCACGTTCCGCCACCTGTGGCCGTACGTGCGCCCCGGCGGGATGTACGTAATCGAAGACATCGGCTTCTCGTATGTCGACGCGCCCTCGAAGATCTACGGGTACCAGCTCGGCGACGGCGGGATCGGGCAGCCGCCGCCGGGCAATCTCGTCGAGAAGTTCAAGCAGGTCGCCGACCTCGTGTCGCGGCAGTGGTGCCAGCCTCTCGCGAACTACACGGTCTTCACGCCCGAGGTGGACCGGAGCATATGGAGCGTGCAGTTCCTCTCGGGTGCAATCGTGGTGCACAAGCAGTCGCTGGGGCAGGCGACGCTGATCACGCACGTGCGCAAGGTGGCGATGAAGTCTGTCACCCCCAAGATGTACGCCGGCGGCTCCTTGAAGGCTTGGAGACTTAAGCTGGATGCGGAGCAGCGCGACTGGTGACGAGGAGCTGGGCACAGCTATGGGGTCTGAGCTCATGCGGGACCACAACACAGACAAGGGCGCGTACCGGTACGGCGTGAACAGGATGCTCGCCGTTAGGCTCTTCGGGCAGGCGTGTGTGCGGCGCCGTTAGCCCGCCGCGCTCGGTCCGTCCCGCCTTTTCCGTTACAAACATTATTTCGGTCATTCAAATAATACAGTATTCGAAGCATGCTTGCATGGCGAGTGTGGAGCGCCTCGCCTCGATTGAAAAAGACCTGTGACCTCCTGAAATACGGAGGCAGTCAGGGCGATTCGCGCGAACAGAGAGGCTTCGGCCACACAGATATTTCGAAGAGGATTGACTATGAGCTTCCAGGAAACCAGGAAGCGCTCGACGAGTGCGACGGGAAGGGCAAGGGGGCGAAGGCGGCGATGGCGACGCAGGGCGAACGGACCGCGATCTAGAGCGCGAGCATGAAGTGTCAAGTGAGTAAAGATCAATGGACAATGCACAATCGCGACCGCCGACAAAACGCGGCGGTTTCACACGAGGACGCGAGGCGGGAACTGACACATCGTAAGCGTGCTGTCGCTGCCGACTAACCCTAACGCCTATAAGATGACTTTAAGATGAAAGATCGCGATCGACCCTCGGCCTCGCTCGCCTCACTAAATAAACTGTACTTTCGCGTTGTACTTACAATCCGTGTACAGTACTCTAGACACCTGAGAGAGCGCTGCATTCTCGCGCTCCCACAGAAGCTGTGTCATGAAGCCTGCAAGAGCTGGCGGTAGCGGATCTGCAGCGTAATAGTTTACCCTCAAGCCTCATCGCGTTTCAGTGAAGGACGTGCCTGAGGATGTGGCCACAGCGCCCAGCGGCAGCGCAGACCGGTGCGCAGCCGCGCAGGCACAGCAGCTCCTCCCTGATACGATAACTTATCGGATAACGGGATAACTTCCAAATCTGGATAAACCTGACCACTGTGCCCTGGTATCTAGATACTATCAACATCGTTCATGCTGTTCGCTCTGCTCGCAAGCCCGGCGCTGCCGACCGGGCGCGTGCCAATCTTTGCCCAGACTCTCGGGGCTGCCCCCGCCCAGACTCTCGAGCCTGACGTCGTGTGCACGGGCGACCGCACTCTGGCAGATGCGCTTCAGCACGGGTGTCACACGGTGACGGGCGATTTGACTGACGGCGACGCAAGCGGAGACGTCAACCTGCCCAGCCTGTTCAACGTGCTCAGAGACATCTCGCTGCGCGCCTCTCCCCCCCACGTAGCAAACGACGGGGCGAGGTGAAGGAGGGACGGGCCGCGCAGCGAGGAGGCGGCGTCCGGCGGCGACAAAGCGATGGGCCATCAGGGCTTGGCGTCGAAATACTTTTTATCCTGTCATCATCGAGGTCGAGAGAGAGGCACCCCCCAGCTTAGTGCATCATCAGCCGCCAAGGGGGCGATGGCAGCCTTTGGCAGCACAGAACTGCTTTCCGAGCTGCCGCTTGCAAGCCCCAAACGGCACCGTGGCGATCACCCTTCCTTTGCACGGCGGCAATCGCCGCGCCGGTCTCCGCGCGTGCCGCCGGCGGTCGGCACCGCGGCCCTCGAAGAGGGCCTTGATGCGCTGGAGCCGCTCCCGGCAGCAACAATGGCACCGGTGCAGCTCATGGCGCCGCCGCAGCGGCGGACGTCGCAGCGGCGGATCAACGTCCGCGAGCAGCGCAAGCAGAGCGTGGAAGATGCGGCTGCAATCACCGAAGAGGGCACATACTTGTCCCTCTCGCAAGTGGAGGCGGGAGACCTTGTTGTCGCAACAAGGAAGAGGGCGATGCCCGAGGCGCCCGACGACGAGGCCGACCATCTCCCCTCCCCAGCGCGGACAGCCACGGTGCGTCGCTCGTGCTCTCTCCTCGCTCTCCCGTCGCTCACACCAACACACCGCCACATCGACGCTGCCTTTCACACCCACACACCCACACACAATCCGCATGAGCCTGCCCACCACCACCACAACCACCCCGCCACTACCCGCAGGCGCGCCACCGCGGCCACTGCGGCCGCCTCCACATTAACTCGGAAGCCCCTCGCGACCCTGCCGCCGACCCGCGCGGCGGAGACGGCAACAGCAGCGTGCGCTCGCTCGAAGCCTCGTCGGCTCTGTGCACTTCTGAGGTCAGCCTCTTGGCGGTGGGCTTGGCGGGTGCCGCTGTTGGTGGCGTGTCCTAGTGGTTGCTGCGTTGCTGTTGCTTCTTTGGTGGTGTTTCCTGTGTTCGATTGGTGTAGTGCCTCTTCGGTGTTTTTTCCTTCCTTCTCTCTCTCTTCTTTTTCTCGTCTTCTTTTTCTCCTTTTTCTTTTTCCCTCCTTTTTCCCCTTTTTTTTTTCATTT